GTCGCCTCCGTCGCTGCCGTCGCCGCCCTCCCTGCCCTCTCCGCCCTCGCCGCCGCCCTTACCACCCTCTCCGCCGAGGTCGCCGCCGCCACCGCCGTCGCCGCCGTTGCCGCCGCCGTTGCCACCCTCGCCTCCGTCGCCGCCCTCTCCGCCCCCGTCGCCACCGCCGCCGCCGCCACCGCCGCCACCGCCCTCTCCGCCGCCGTCGCCGTCGCCTCCGCCTTCGCCGCCCTCGCCGCCTCCGTCGCCGCCGTCGCCGCCGTCGCCACCCTCTCCGCTGCCCTCGCCGCCGCCGCCGCCCTCGCCGCCCTCTCCGCCCTCGCCGCCGCCCTTACCACCCTCTCCGCCGAGGTCGCCGCCGCCACCGCCGTCGCCGCCGTTGCCGCCGCCGTTGCCCCCCTCGCCTCCGTCGCCACCCTCTCCGCCCCCCTCGCCACCCACGCCGCCGCCACCGCCGCCGCCGTCACCACCGCCGCCGTCGCTTCCGCCTCCGCCTTCGCCGCCCTTGCCGCCTCCGTCGCCTCCGTCGCCACCGTCCCCACCCTCTCCGCCACCCTCTCCGCTTCCCTCGCCGCCGTCGCCTCCGTCGCCGCCGTCGCCGCCCTCCCTGCCCTCTCCGCCCTCGCCGCCGCCCTTACCACCCTCTCCGCCGAGGTCGCCGCCGCCACCGCCGTCGCCGCCGCTGCCGCCGCCGTTGCCACCCTCGCCTCCGTCGCCGCCCTCTCCGCCCCCGTCGCCACCGCCGCCGCCGCCACCGCCGCCACCGCCCTCTCCGCCGCCGTCGCCGTCGCCTCCGCCTTCGCCGCCGTCGCCGCCTCCGTCGCCGCCGTCGCCGCCGTCGCCACCCTCTCCGCCGCCCTCGCCGCCGCCGCCGCCCTCCCTGCCCTCTCCGCCCTCGCCGCCGCCTTTACCACCCTCTCCGCCGAGGTCGCCGCCGCCACCGCCGTCGCCGCCGCTGCCGCCACCGTTGCCACCCTCGCCTCCGTCGCCACCCTCTCCGCCCCCCTCGCCACCCACGCCGCCGCCACCGCCGCCGCCGTCACCACCGCCGCCGTCGCTTCCGCCTCCGCCTTCGCCGCCCTCGCCGCCTCCGTCGCCTCCGTCGCCGCCGTCCCCACCCTCTCCGCCACCCTCTCCGCTTCCCTCGCCGCCGTCGCCTCCGTCGCTGCCGTCGCCGCCCTCCCTGCCCTCTCCGCCCTCGCCGCCGCCCTTACCACCCTCTCCGCCGAGGTCGCCGCCGCCACCGCCGTCGCCGCCGTTGCCGCCGCCGTTGCCACCCTCGCCTCCGTCGCCGCCCTCTCCGCCCCCGTCGCCACCGCCGCCGCCGCCACCGCCGCCACCGCCCTCTCCGCCGCCGTCGCCGTCGCCTCCGCCTTCGCCGCCCTCGCCGCCTCCGTCGCCGCCGTCGCCGCCGTCGCCACCCTCTCCGCCGCCCTCGCCGCCGCCGCCGCCCTCGCCGCCCTCGCCGCCCTCGCCGCCGCCCTTACCACCCTCTCCGCCGAGGTCGCCACCGCCACCGCCGTCGCCGCCGTTGCCGCCGCCGTTGCCCCCCTCGCCTCCGTCGCCGCCCTCGCCGCCCCCCTCGCCACCGCCGCCGCCATCACCACCGCCGCCGCTACCACCGCCGCCGTCGCTTCCGCCTCCGCCTTCGCCGCCCTCGCCGCCTCCGTCGCCTCCGTCGCCGCCGTCCCCACCCTCTCCGCCACCCTCTCCGCTTCCCTCGCCGCCGTCGCCTCCGTCGCCGCCGTCGCCGCCCTCCCTGCCCTCTCCGCCCTCGCCGCCGCCCTTACCACCCTCTCCGCCGAGGTCGCCGCCGCCACCGCCGTCGCCGCCGTTGCCGCCGCCGTTGCCACCCTCGCCTCCGTCGCCGCCCTCTCCGCCCCCGTCGCCACCGCCGCCGCCGCCACCGCCGCCACCGCCCTCTCCGCCGCCGTCGCCGTCGCCTCCGCCTTCGCCGCCGTCGCCGCCTCCGTCGCCGCCGTCGCCGCCGTCGCCACCCTCTCCGCCGCCCTCGCCGCCGCCGCCGCCCTCGCCGCCCTCTCCGCCCTCGCCGCCGCCCTTACCACCCTCTCCGCCGAGGTCGCCGCCGCCACCGCCGTCGCCGCCGCTGCCGCCACCGTTGCCACCCTCGCCTCCGTCGCCACCCTCTCCGCCCCCCTCGCCACCCACGCCGCCGCCACCGCCGCCGCCGTCACCACCGCCGCCGTCGCTTCCGCCTCCGCCTTCGCCGCCCTCGCCGCCTCCGTCGCCTCCGTCGCCGCCGTCCCCACCCTCTCCGCCACCCTCTCCGCTTCCCTCGCCGCCGTCGCCTCCGTCGCCGCCGTCGCCGCCCTCCCTGCCCTCTCCGCCCTCGCCGCCGCCCTTACCACCCTCTCCGCCGAGGTCGCCGCCGCCACCGCCGTCGCCGCCGTTGCCGCCGCCGTTGCCCCCCTCGCCTCCGTCGCCGCCCTCTCCGCCCCCGTCGCCACCGCCGCCGCCGCCACCGCCGCCACCGCCCTCTCCGCCGCCGTCGCCGTCGCCTCCGCCTTCGCCGCCCTCGCCGCCTCCGTCGCCGCCGTCGCCGCCGTCGCCACCCTCTCCGCCGCCCTCGCCGCCGCCGCCGCCCTCGCCGCCCTCGCCGCCCTCGCCGCCGCCCTTACCACCCTCTCCGCCGAGGTCGCCACCGCCACCGCCGTCGCCGCCGTTGCCGCCGCCGTTGCCCCCCTCGCCTCCGTCGCCGCCCTCGCCGCCGCCCTCGCCACCGCCGCCGCCATCACCACCGCCGCCGTCACCACCGCCGTCGTCGCTTCCACCTCCGCCTTCGCCGCCCTTGCCGCCTCCGTCGACTCCGTCGCCACCGTCCCCACCCTCTCCGCCACCCTCTCCGATTCCGTCGACACCGTCGCCGACGGCGCAGTCGTTGACGGC